AAAAAACTCAACCTTTTTGCTCACGCGGAGAATCCACACATAATTAGCTGTCATTCCTCATATTAATTCAACTACTATTTATGTCCCATATAAGTCAGTAATTAACCTTCAACTATAATGTAATTTTTCCAGTAAAAACAAAAAAGTTATTATGAGGCCATGTTTTTACATATTCCTTTTCATCTCCTTATTCATCTGCCTAACCTTAGCAACAGCCAACCACCAAAGAACAACCATAAATGAGAAAATAGCTTGTCTGATAGTACACAACAATGTCCGGGCGGGCGTCGGCCTACAGCCGCTCGTGTGGAGCAAAAAATTAACAAAATACGCCCGATCGTATGCTGAGAAAAGACGGGCCGACTGCCAACTGAAGCACTCGGGCTCGAGATGGTATGGGGAGAATATCTTCTGGGGCAGCGGCAAAATCTGGAGCATGACTCAAGCGGCTCGGGATTGGGCCGGCGAGAAAGCGTCGTATCACTATTCGTCTAACTCGTGCGACTCGGGCAAAATGTGTGGGCACTACACTCAGATTGTTTGGAGGGATACGACTAAGGTTGGATGTGCAAAAGTGGCTTGTGACAATAACAAGGGCATTTTCATCACCTGCAACTATCATCCACCGGGGAATTATATTGGGGAGAGGCCCTATTGATGAGATTAATTGATGGGGATTAACAAAAAGGTTACTTATATATAAATGTATTAGCCTTTATTGTTTTAATGATTCTGCAATGCCTAAAATAAATTATATTATACCTCGTTCCTTTAATCTCATCATGTTTTGGAAAATAGATATATAATTCTTTCAATGAAAAAATTTTCAGTTTTGGTCCGTTTGTAATATCCCGATATTTTAATAGTATAAATCATGTTTTTAGTTCCGATATAATAATGTTATCGATTATTATTTTTGGAATTAATTATTTTCAGTCGAGATTACCGAAAATTATTTTCGACGTACTGTTTACGTTCGGAATAATTTTGGTAATTAAGTATTATGCTTAAAAGTTAATTAAGCATAAATAGGTGATTAATTAAATATTAATCACTAATTAAAGTCTATTAAACCGTATGGAATGTCCCAAATTCATGTAAGTGCCGTACCTATTTCTTAAGCCTAAGGAAGTATTTTTACCTTCTCCTTAAGCTTGCGCACGTGTCAAGATGAGGGGTTAAGAGTGGGATTAGTCATCTTAAGATGTGTTATTTTGGGGCAAGTGTCATTAAATGGTGTAAACACCACACCATAGCATCACCACTTCATCATAATTTTCCCTCGGTTTTAGTATATATTAGAGTGTTTGGTCCGAAAATTTCCCATCCCTTTATATCATATGCACGTCTCCATACATTCTGAAGTTAAAGAGTGGGAAAGTTAGTGAGATTATTAAGAGGTTCTTGAGTATTGAAGGCACGGCAAGTAGCAGCAGTCACTCGGCGAAGCATCGTACGCCTAGCTACACACACACGGGCACGCGCAAGTGAGTTCGCGATCAGTTTGAGAATTCCGTCGAACATTTGAGGAGGTAAAGCCATCCTCAACTCATTTTCATGTCAATAAGTTCATTTAAGAATGTAGTGTTTGATTCATGTTTCAAGAGTTCATAGCTATGCCATGATAGGTTCGGTTAGGCCTAATTAAGTCATGATCGAGTAACTTCGTATTTTATCCGGTAGCTCATGAACAATTCTTATTTATATGGTCATTTTAGAACATTTTATATTCAGTAGATTCATGATGGGCGAGATAAGTTGAAGTTTATCCCTGAATTGGCTCAAAGCCGTCGCCGGCGCACGTCGCGCATGGCCACGGGCCGCCCAAGTCATGTTATGTTATCTCTTGTTATAGTCAAGGTTGTCCGTGCAGTTTATGTCTTAACTGTTGGGTTCTGTTAGGAACGTCAAACAACATGCACAGTATTGAA